AAAAAAAAACTTCTAAATATAATTTTGAATTGGAAACCTAAAAGTTGGTTGTAAATTCCACAAAAAATAAAGCCTTCCCCCAAAATAAAATAAAAATCGAACACAAATTATCTAGAGGGTAAAAAAATTCCACCATTTTCGAACCTCCATTTACAAAAAATAAAAAATTAAAGAATATTTTTTTTCACTTCTGTATTTAATTATTAATAATCTTTGTGAGTTGAAACCCCAACATAACTTTTCTCCATTTTCCAATCAACTTTCATCGGACGCTATCTTGTAAATTCCACCCAAAGTTCGTAGCAAATTCAATCAATCACTCAAATGACAAACGCCCGAACTCTCTAATTTCTCCTAATTGTAATTCTGAACCTTCGATTTCTTATTCTTGTGAGATTTTTTTGAAATAAATTATGCCCTAATTTGATTGTATGTTGGCTCGAGTTACTGCGGATTGTCGTGTGTGTGTACTTGGGCTTATGTATTCGTTGATGTATAGATTAAGGAGGGGTATTTTTGATCAATTAGGACGAGGATCGGGGAGGGGAATATCATTTGAAAGGGGATTTGGGGGTTCTTAGATTTTTTGAGGGATCTTTTACTTGCAAAGTTAAATTTTTGAAATTCACGGAAAAATCTTTTATTTCAAGTGTTTGTTGTATTTTTCGCCTATATTTCCCCTTTAATTATGAATCAAGATATTTTCTTTTTTGATTTTTACAGTCTTCTGGCTAAAGATATTTATTTTTAAAACTTGGTGAGTGTGCGATGGTTTAGCGGTGTGCTTTTTGATTCTATGCAATTTAATTTAAATACTTTCTAATAATTTGTTTGACTTTTACTAGGAAAGGCTTGTTTGGCTTATCATTTTTCTGATGATTTTGGATACTCTGGATTCTGCATTTCTGAATGTCAAAAGCATAAGAGGGTTTCTAATAATCTGTTGACAAGAGGCTTTTGTGGCAATTATGTTTATGTTGTTATTCAGTGTTAAAATGAAGCTTTTTAATGCTTCACTGTGTGATTTAATGTTGTTCTGTATTGGATTTTGGGTCCGCTTTGTGGCATCTGTTGTGTCTATGAGATTTGGTACACGGCCCCTTATTTTCTGTTTGATTATCGAGTCGGATGTTATGCAAATGACCATTTTCTGTTCCACAATACAACTGCAGGTTGTGGGACTCATTGATGACTGTTGCTCAAGAATTAATCAATACTTCTTTACTTGAGGCCCTATTACTTCGAGATTATAAGCGTTACTGAAATTTATTTATTAAATGCTGCTGATGGGTTGCCAGCCAATATGCTATAAAGTTGAGTAAAGATACTGTATTTTTTCATTTGCTAAGTCCGATCCAGTGTTATAGTGATTCAGACGTTGCCGTAAGGGAGAAAATCTCAGAATCCTTTTGTGGTGAGTTAAATACAATAGGTGATAATATTGTGTTGCTATAACCTTGATGTATTAAGATTGTTTGTTACCTGAATGCAGCTTTCTAGTTGTTTATGTTTATGTCATGAGATTGAATTGCCTTTCTTTTTGTGTGAATGTCATCAACACTCGTGTTACTATATCTGGGATAACTTTGTGGTTTGTCCAAGTGGCTGTTTAATATGCACTGCCAGCTTGGAATAGGGGAGTGAGAAGCAGTTGTGCATTCTTGTCATGTCCATTTACAGCGGATTGTGTTGGGGAATAATAACTGTTCCCTGTTGCACCAATAGATCTGGAAGTTACTGCATGACTTCTATTATGATCAAGGTAAGTCTGTCTGCAAATAAAAGCACGGTCTGTCTGCAAATAAAAGCACGGTCTTTTACATGCGTGGGGGGTGATGAAGAACTGGAAGACACGAGTGACTACGTATAAAATATTTGCTGAAGTTTTTTAAACATTTGCTCAGTTTTGTTGTTTGAAAAGCTTAGATCTTGGAGGATATCATCACAGATATAATTCTTGGAACATGAAATGATTCTTAGCAGTGAATTGGAACTTGTAATTCAAGTTGCAGTCATGGTTCTATTTCCTAATTGTAATGCCTGGTAAACTCATTTATATCTAATCAATTTTTTCTGGCTTGGCTAAGACGGATAGCCGAGCTATTTCCCCTTTCTTTATGTAATAGTTTGAATGCAGCAGTGGTGCTTGATTAGTGTGATGGAGAGACAAGGTGTTTGGCGTTACTTTCATCTCCATTCCTGACTTTCCTATAGGTCTTGGAATTGTGTAATCCTCTTTTACCACATTTGATTTTAAAAGCATTTCATGGTTTTGGATTTTTACATACATTGTCTCAATTAAATTGAGACAGCCTTTTCTTTCTTTATTTTCAAGGGGATAACAACTGGAGGCACAAAGGGCATTAAGAATTCCGAGGACTTTCTGTTGAGAATTAAAAAACTCTAATTCTATTCCACCAAGAGCGATTAAGAATACGCTAGATTTATAGAAGCTTGCCTTAATGTGAGACTATGTCATCTTTTTCTTCAGCTGCATTAATTCACCATGACGAAAAGTAGTTCACAAGAGAAAATCGCATGCCTATCTTCTCTAACCTCTCTCTCTTTGATGGTTATCAAATGCCTAATGATGACTTACTATTTATAAGATAAATTAGGGGAAAATCGAAATTTAGAAGGACTTAAATTCCTAAGATGAATTTTACATGAACACAAATTTCTAAATTGCCCTTAATGAAATATAAGTTTCTCCACAACTAGCTCCACGAAGTGGCAATAATTAGGCTTCATAACTTAACACTTTTTGGTTGATAAATTCACAAATACAAGTCTTTGATCTACAAACATGGGAAAAATTGGATTTCTTATGGTGGGACATTGGAATGGGGATAGTCACATATTGTAGCTGATTCGGAAAGAAGATATGAATGGTTCCATGAATTTAGCCCCTGTTTGATGGCCATTATGAAGAGATTTTTTTTTTGGGGGGGGGGGGGGGGGGGGGGATGGTGTTTTAAATAGTGATTTTTTTAAAGAATGTGCGGTTAAAAAGTAAGAAATTTTTTTGGGTTTATCTGCAAAATAAAGAATCAAACAATGGCTTCTTAAGAAATCTGTTCTGCTGGTAATCGCAGAATTGTAGTAATTGAGAGTGTGTTTCCTCGTTCCCTCGATTGTTGCTTCATACACTTAACACAGATAACTTGGCACTCTTTGTTTATATTCAAATTCAATGTTCAATTAATCTCTCTCTCTCTCTCTCTCTATGCATGCATGTGAGGGCCTGCACAAACAATCAGCAAATGCTCAACTTGTGAAGCAATGTGCTTTTCCCTTTTTGTAGGTGTTGGGTGGCATGATTGTCGTGATAATTTTTCAACTGTCTTTTTCTTCCAGTAGTTTTTTTTTTTTGAAATCTGACTGCAGATATAAATTTTTGTTATCATTTTATGTATTAATGTCTCTTTGATTTATTTTCTTTGCATTTTAGTGGAATGACTAGTTTGCTAATGATTTCAATAATAGTAACATATCACAGTTCACATAGATGGCCAGTAGGAAACGAAGCTTGTCAAATGATGCAGATGTTTCTGCTCTGTACAAGGAATTGGATGAAGCCTCATGTCCCATATGCATGGACCACCCACATAATGCTGTTCTTCTCATTTGCAGTTCCCATGATAAGGGATGTCGATCATACATATGTGACACTAGTTATCGGCATTCAAATTGCTTAGATCGATTCAGAAAGCTCAGAGAAGAAAACAAGGACATTTTGCACTCGAGAACTTCTGGTGACTTGACTGTGGAGACCGGGGAGGATACAAATCACATTCAGATTTTAAGTAACACTGCAGCAACCATGGGTCTGCCTGGGGGATCCGGGAGCACCCAAGATGAAAATTCTAACTTTGAAGAACAAGGAACATTATGGGGAAGGCTTGATCTTGGGGAAACTGACATGGAGAAATCAGAACCTATATCGAATTTGAGTTGCCCTTTATGTCGTGGGAGTGTTTTGGGCTGGAAAGTTGTAGAAGAGGCCAGGAAGTACCTCAACCTAAAGTCTCGGAGTTGCTCTCGTGAATCTTGCTCATTCCTTGGTAACTATAGGGAGTTACGCCGGCATGCTAGAAGAGTTCATCCAACTGTCCGTCCTGCTGATGTTGACCCAACAAGACAACAAGCTTGGCAGCGCTTTGAAGACCAAAGAGAATACAGTGATATTGTTAGTGCCATTCGCTCAGCCATTCCAGGTGCTGAAGTACTCGGCGACTATGTAATTGAGAATGGAGATAGGGTATCAGGTGAAAGGGAAAGAGGTGAAGGTGGCCGGTGGTTAAGCACCTTCTTCTTGTTTCAGATGATTAGCTCAATGGAACCAGGAGGGGAGCTAAGGGGTGGCAGGTCAAGAGCTTTTGCAAGGCATAGGCGCCCTACTGGAACCTTTTCTAGGCGCCGTTATTTGTGGGGTGAGAATTTATTGGGCCTCCAAGATGACGATGAGGATGATGATGGTGATGACGAACCGGACCCAAACATTTTAAGCAATGTTGATGAAGATGTTCCTCCAAATCCAAGACGACGTCGACGACTGACACGTGCTCGATCGCATGAAGACCAGCAATAGGTTGTTGGCAGAAGGATTTGGTAGCCCCCATCATTGTTTCTGTACATGAATTCATATTTTCTTAGATCAAAACAGCAGTTTTTGATATTCTCCAAAATGTTTTTGATGATGTGCAGGTTCCCTCTTGATAACGAGCATGTTAGACCAGTCAGGAATGAAGTTGCTGAAATCTCCAGAGACAGAATTTGATGGATTGGGGCGAATGGAGAGACAATCTAGGATTTGTTTGCAGGTTGTTCCTTCAATAGGAAGATGGTGAAAATAATTGCAGCTGGTCTGTTTAGTTTCTGTGGCTTATCCCCAGAAATATGTAAAAAATTGCTTTATCTTATGTTGGATGTCTGATCATTGTTAAGCCTTGTGAAATTCTATGTACTCTGTTTACATGTTATGTTGGATATTCAGTATTCACTGTTCAGCATCTTTCATTTTGATCCAATAGTAAGATATATACTCGATGAATGACTCCATGCAGATGCTTGAAATAGAAAGTACTCTGCACAATTGAACACTATCAATCTTCTCTGCACGATTGAAGTCGAAAGTGGCTTTTGGGATTAAGAAGTTATTTCAGGAACTGTTTGGATAATTTCTAAAAAATATTTTGTTGCCTTAAAAGGGAGTTTTTTTTAAAGGCAATTAGCTCGAGACAAGTTCCAGAGAAATAGCTTTTACATTTTGTTTATAGATATTCACATTTGAAAGATTTTTCTTTTTACATCATATAGCTAATTTTTTCTTGCGCAAAGGTTAGTCTGAACAATGTTTTATCAAAATTGATATCGATTCATCAACAATGATGGTGTTTGAGCTCAACTTTTATGAAAAAATACATTTTAAAATAGTGGGAAAAGTGTGATTGAAAAATGGGGAATTTTTTTTTTTATTTACGTGTAATATTATTTTAATGAATAATATATGATTGAAAAGAATAAACAAAAAAATGTATTTTGGACAGAATGAGAATCAAACAAGGAAAATATAAGAAAAATATTAAATACATTACCGTCCCGGACATGGCCTGCACACCGTGCTCCGAATTGCCTGAAAATCATTAAACTGTCCATGTTAATCATTACTCCGATCTCGAAGGTCAACGTAATAGGACCGAAATCCTATAATGTTATCCCATACTAATGTATTTAGAGCGTAGACTTGCTTTGAGCACTCTAATTTCTTCAAAGTAACAGCGTCGGAGGCACGACCCGACCAGTTAAGGCCAGGAGCGCATCGTCGGCAGAAGGGATGAGACGACCGGTGCACACCGTAGGCGGACCGGTCGACAGACGTGCTGCGTTGGCCACCTTAAAGTACAATTTTCATTGAGCGGCGGGTAGAATCCTTTGCAGACGACTTAAATACGCGACGGGGTATTGTAAGCGGCAAAGTAACCTTGCTGCCACGATCCGCTGAGATTCAGCCCTTTGTCGCTCCGATTCGTCCCTCCCCTTTCGTTCCTCCCAATCGACTATCCGGAAATGCACTGAGGCTAGAACACCTATGGTCATTGAAACAACTTTTCTTTTCAATGCCTAAGTGTGGAGGGACAAAAACCGATGTACAGCAAAGCGTAGCGTCCGAAGCAGTTACTAGCCTCTGTGCTAAAGTTCACGCAGTGGACATAAAATATGTGATGTTAAGTTTGGGTGCTTGATCAGTGGCCTCGGTGTGACTGTGATATGCCTTTGGGTACTTGTGATATGTCTTCGTGCTCCTGCATTGTACTTGAGTTGCTCCCATATTGTGCATGCGACGTCCATTAGTTGCGCGATGCTGAATTCGAATGCATGAGATGTCCCTTAACATGCCTGGCGTGCCTGCGATTAGCATCAGCATGAACTACCTGTTGCCTACGTGTGCCTGCGTCCTTCACATGGACTACACTCAGTGCTGCCTTCATGTGCCCGCATCCCGTCCCAGAAACTGCCTAGAAATGCCTGAAAATCAGGCTATGTCCTGGTAGCATCCTGGACATGGTCGACACACTGTGTCTTAGAAATGCCTGAAAATCGGGCTACGTCCCTACCGTGGTAAGGACGCGTCCAGGACATGGCCTGCACACCGTGCCCAGAATATCCTGAAAATGAAGCCGCGTCCCGAACATGGCCTGCACACCTTGCCCAGAAATGCCTGAAAATCAAGATGCATTCCTGCCGTGCCCAGGACGCATCCCAGACACAGCTTGCACACCGTGCCTAGAAATGCCTGAAAATGAGGCTGCGTCCCTGCCGTGGCCAGGACGCGTCCTAGACATGCCCTGCACACCGTGCCCAAAAATGCCTGAAAATGAGGCTGCGTCCCTGTCGTGGTCAGGACGGGTCCTGGACATAGCCTTCACACCATGCCCAGAATTGCCTAAAAATCAGGCTGCGTCTTTGTAGTGGCTAGAACGCGTCCCGGACCTGGCCTGCACACCTTGCCCAGAAACTGCCCAAAATTGCCTGAAAATCAGGCTGCGTCCCTGCAGTGGCCAAGACGCGTCCCGAACACGGGCAGCACACCGTGCCCAGAATTGCCTGAAAATCAGGATGCGTTCCTGCCGTGGCCAGGACGCATCCCAGACATGGCCTGCACACCGTGCCCAGAAATGCCTGAAAATGAGGTTGCGTCCCTGCCGCGGCCAGGACGCGTCCCGGACATGGCCAGCACACGGTGCCCAGAATTGCTTGAAAATCAGGCTGCGTCCCTGCAGTGGCCAAGACGCGTCCCGAACACGGGCAGCACACCGTGCCCAGAATTGCCTGAAAATCAGGATGCGTTCCTGCCGTGGCCAGGACGCATCCCAGACATGGCCTGCACACCGTGCCCAGAAATGCCTGAAAATGAGGTTGCGTCCCTGCCGCGGCCAGGACGCGTCCCGGACATGGCCAGCACACGGTGCCCAGAATTGCTTGAAAATCAGGCTGCGTCCCTGCAGTGGCCAAGACGCGTCCCGAACACGGGCAGCACACCGTGCCCAGAATTGCCTGAAAATCAGGATGCGTTCCTGCCGTGGCCAGGACGCATCCCAGACATGGCCTGCACACCGTGCCCAGAAATGCCTGAAAATGAGGTCGCGTCCCTGCCGTGGCCAGGACGGGTCCCGGACATAGCCTTCACACCATGCCCAAAATTGCCTGAAAATCAGGCTGCGTTCCTGCCGTGGCCAAGACGAGTCCCAGACCTGACCTGCACACCGTGCCCAGAAACTGCACAAAATTGCCTGAAAATCAGGATGCGTCCCTGCAGTGGCCAGGACGTGTTCGGGACATGGTCAGTACACCGTGCCCAGAATTGCCTAAAAATCAAGCTGCGTCCCTACAGTGGCCAGGACGCATCCTTACAGTGGCCAAGACGCGTCCCTGACATGGCCAGCACACCGTGCACAGAATTGCCTGAAAATGAGGCTGCGTCCCTGCCGTGGCCCGGACGCGTCTCGGACATGGTCTACACACCGTGCCCAGAATTGCCTGAAAATCAGGCCGCGTCCCTACAGTTGCCGGGACATGTCCGGGACATGGGCAGCATATCGTGCCCAGAATTACCAGAAAATCAGGCTGCGTCCCTATAGTGGCCAATACGTATCCTTGCAGTGGCCAGGACGCGTCCCTGACTTGGCTAGCACATCGTGCACAGAATTGCCTGAAAATGAGGCTGCGTCCCTGCCATGGCCAGGACGCGTCCCGGACACGGCCTGCACACCGTGCCCTGAATTGCCTGAAAATCAGGCTGCGTCCATGCCGCGGCAAGGACGCTTCCCGAACATGGCCTGCACACCGTGCCCAAAAATGCCTGAAAATGAGGCTGTGTCCTTGCCGTGGCCATGACGCTTCCTGGACGTGGCCTACACACCGTGCCCAGAAATGCCTGAAAATGAGGCTGCGTCCCCGCCGTGGTCAGGACGCGTCCCATACATGGCCTGCACATCGTGCCCAGAAATGCCTGAAAATGAGGCTGCGTCCCTACCGTGGCCAGGACGCGTCCCCGACATGGCCTGCGCACCATGCCCAGAAATGCCTGAAAATGAGGCTGCGTCCCTACCGTAGTCAGGACGCGTCCCGGACATGGCCTGCACATCGTGCCTAGAATTGCCTGAAAATCAGGCTGCATCCCTGACATGGCCAGAACGCGTCCCGGACATGGCCTGCACACCGTGCCCAGAAACTTCCCAAAATTGCCTGAAAATCAGACTGCGTCCCCGCAGTGGTCAGGATGCGTCCCGGACATGGCCTGCACACTGTGCCTAGAAATTGCCAATAATTGCCTGAAAATCAGGTTGCGTCCCTGCAGTGGCTAGGACGTGTCCCGGACATAGCCTGCACACCATGCCCAGAAATGCCTGAAAATGGGGACGCGTCTCAGACATAGCCTGCACACCGTGCCCAGAAATGCCTGAAAATGAGGCTGCGTCCCTACCGTAGCCAGGACGTGTCCCAGACATGACCTGCACACCGTGCCCAGAATTGCCTGAAAATCAGGCTGCGTCCCTGTAGTGGCCAAGACGCTTCCCGGATATGGCCTGCACACCGTGCCCAGAATTGCCTGAAAATCAGGCTGCGTCCCTGTAGTGGCCAAGACGCTTCCCGGATATGGCCTGCACATCGTGCCCAGAATTGCTTGAAAATCAGGCTGTGTCCCTGCAGTGGCCAGGACGTGTCCCGGACATGGTCTGCACACCGTGCCCAAAAACAGTCAAAAATTGCCTGAAAATCAAGCTGTGTCCCCGTAGTGGCCAGGACGCGTCCCCAACATTGTCTACACACCGTGCTCAGAAACTGCCAATAATTGATTGAAAATCAGCCTGCGTCCCTGCGGTGACAAGGACACGTCCTGGACATGGCCTGCACACCGTGCCCAGAAATGCCTGAAAATGAGTCTGCGTCCTTACTGTGGTCAGGACGCGTCCTGGACATAGCCTGCACACCGTGCCCAGAAATGCTTGAAAATGAGGCTGCGTCCCTGCGGTGGCCAGGACGCGTCCCGGACGTGGCCTGCACACCGTGCCCAGAAACTGTCCAAAATTGCCTGAAAATCAGGCTGCATCCCTGCAGTGGTCATGACGCGTCCCGGACATGGGCAGCACACCGTGCCCAGAATTGCTTGATAATCAGGCTGCGTCCCTGCAGTGGCCAGGACGCGTCCTTGACTTGGCCAGCACACCGTGCACAGAATTGTCTGAAAATGAGGCTGCGTCCCTGCCGTGGCCAGGGCGCGTCCCGAACATGGCCTGCACACCGTGCCCAGAATTGCCTGAAATCAGGCTGCGTCCCTGCTGCGACCAGGACGCATCCCGGACATGGCCTGCACACCGTGTCCAGAAATGCCTGAAAATGAGGCTGCGTCCCTGCCATGGCGAGGATGCGTCCCAGACATGACCTGCACATCGTGCCCAGAAATGCCTGAAAATGAGGCTGCGTCCCTGCCGTGGCCAGGACGCGTCCCGGACATGGTCTGCACACCGTGCCCAGAATTGCCTGAA